CCAGGTGACTTATTCGATTACATCGAAATTATAAGTTGAAAAGACTTGCTAGGATTAAACATAATCAGGTGGTATAGTGTATTGTTAAGTAAAATCACATGTTTTATAATAGGCGTGATTAATGTTATTGGACGACAAATTAATTTTTTAGTAATGATTTGTGAGAGTACCACTACACCATACTTTATGTGTAGGAATTATAATCGACATGATCTCGGAGACTGGAATTTAAATAGTTTTAATGTTTCAACAGGCAATTTGTTCCGAGTTTTTTTTCACTAATATTATCAAAATCAATACTATCAAAGAATAAAATCACACTAAAAGCTTGTCCGATTATATGTAGATGCTTTTTTGTTTGATAAGGTCATAAGATATTTAATGTGAAACTGATTTACGATCTGAGATGTGTATATCTGTTACTTACTATTTTTAGCGATTCAGTCAAAAATGATATCACTGTCTATGATCAAAGACATATTAGTAATTTTTGTTTCGCATAAAACTAACACCATATTACTTACTTACGCCTGTTACTCCCAATGAAGCCTTCTCTAATCCACTCTGTCCTGGGCCTTCCTTTCCAGTTCTATCCAATTGTTGTTGATTCTTCTTATGTTTGTCTCCATTTCTCGGCACAATGTGTTTTTTTATCTTCCCCTTCTCCTTTGACCCTGAAGATTCCGAGTGAGGGCTTGCCTTGTGATATAGTTGTGTGCTTTCCTCAATGTGCGTCCTATCCACTTCCAACACTTCTTGATTTCTTCCTCCGCTGGGAACTGGTTTGTTCTCTCCCACAGTAAGTTGTTGCTGATTGTGTCTGGATCCGAAGTATTTTGCGTAGACAACTGTTAATAAACACTTGTATCTTCTGAATGATGGAAGATACTCCGCCTGGAGCCCCTCTGGGGCTGCTGGCGTTTCCAAGCCCGGATAAAGGAGGGGAGTTGAGCATGGGTTTAGCGACCCCATCTCGTAGAAAACTAACTCGCTACAAAAACGCTTACCAGAAAAAATAACAGCATATATGAGTGAAATAATCTAGTCTATCTATTTGTAGATTCACATTAGTTGCATAGTTAATTATATTAAATAAAATATAGAAATAAATTCAAACATAAGAATTAACTGATGGAGAGTCTGTTATTTTTTTGTTAGAATCAAGCTTCGGGTGATATAAACTGAGTGGATGTTAAGGATCTTGTAATTATTTGTTAATCAACAGTTACCACAGTGTAGCTAACTATATACTACTGGTATTTATCGTATATTCATTAAAAAACTGTCATTTTGCGATCTCATCACAAAAGTTTAATCTATTTAAACGACAATACAAAAAGATATCACCGAATTCTCGGGTACTTTTTACATATACATGAAACCCACTTCAGAAACATTAACTAAGCTTGCATACTCTGAGAAATTTCTTTCTACTTAAATCGATATGATTTATTTGGTTTTTCCAGCATAGTAAAGTTATGTAAGTTCAACATCATTTACAGTGAATCACGTCAACTAAAACCTATATCAGTTGAGATGAGTATTGTAAAGATGTAAAAATGACATTTGAAGCATAGTGATATGAATTCATTATATTTTGTAGATTTTGTTTAGGTAATCAACAAAAATGGCCCATTGACTGCCGGCTGTTTAGATAAAAAGAATAGTATTAAAAGCATTTGATTGTTCAGGTGGAAAATGTAACCAAATAAAGTAGCATCATCTAAAAGGTGATAAGTTGTAATCAAATCTCATAGTCAGTATAGTTATCGAAACTAGTGGAAACCCAAATACTATCTGCAAAGATGGATAGTGGCTAGCTGTCGAGTCCAGGAAGCGTGTTTCATCCCATTTGGGACTCATCAGCTGAATGTACCTGCATCTCAGTGAGTTCCACTGCCAGCCACCATCCATCTTTGCATATAATGCTTGTGACTTAAGGTTATATCGAAGCAATATGCACAGTATGCAGGTATGCCAATAAGAGACTGATCAACTGCAGTCCTAAAAATCAATGGGAAAATTCAAGTAAACAATACCAAGTGAATCCAAAATTTATCTGTTTTAACATCTTTGCCCATCTTGTTCATTACATGTCCCATTTCACCCTATTTATGCTGTTACACCATTTATGAAATGATGTATAGAAAGCTATATTGTTTCTTGAAGTAAATATTCGATTAACCAACAAACAGATTATAAAGGTTTGTCTTCGAATGGTGACATTTATAGAATTTGTTTATTACAAGAATCACACATTTAAGTATTGGTTATCATTTTTAAACTAGTTGATGATTACATTTTATGCACCTTAATAAATTGTCATATTACCTACATGATCATGGTTACATTCAATAAATTACCCAGTCATAAATTCTAAATTAATCATTCCTATTCCCAGTTTGTGGCCCAAATGTACCCAGATATCGCACTAATCTAAGGCAATAATTGTTCTTCGTGATTTCTTTCGTTCAATGTTTTCTTTCGATAAAGTGTTTTTATTTCTTATGAAAAGAAACATAATTTAATGGGTTCTTCAAAATTATTACTGATTGATAATGATGTTAAATTAATGGGATTCACAATAAACTAGCTGAAGGAGTTGCCTTTATCAATGGGATTATCTTAGAAGCGGGTAGCTGTGTAATCCAAATATTCTATCATCAAATATGTAAAATTTCACATTTTTTCATCTTAAACGCCCTGGTACGACCGAGAGTGGGGAGAGTCCGCTCTCCCTCTCGAAATGCTCTCACATGGCCACGCGTATATAGCCTCTGCCAGGGAACTCCTACTCACTGCCTTATCGTGGCGGGGGTGTTGTTTACGAAAATGAGAGGACGAAAAGCGAATGTCCGGCGCTTTAACCGGATTCCAAACCAATGGTGCACATGGGCTCCAGTATCCTGAAGGAACAAATGGCGTATGAACCAATCATTGGTCACCGGCTTCCATGGGACTGCATCTCCTTACGATGCTCCACTGCCTTGTGGATCAGACCTTCAGGTCGAAGGCTCTGGGTGTGGCCCCCCAAGAAAACCACCTGCTTCGGTTTGGGCACCCGGACAGTATCACAGCCCTCACACATATCGACTGAGATTTGTGTGGCGCATATGTATTTGGTGCCTCCTTGTACCAATATCTATGTGTCAAAATAAAAATAATAATAAACTACAGAGCAATTTACCTTAGTTTTCAGTGTATTGTTACTGAGAATAATGCATCAATATTCATCATATGGTATTCAAATTAACTCTGAGAGATGGATAAGTTATTCATAAAGAGTATTAACTGTAATTGAGTAAACAGCTTAGTGCATAATCATCGTCTGTTTCCATATACACTATTTATCCTCTTCCATCTTTTCAGGTGTGAAAGTACTAATTACAATCCTGGTCTAATTTTAGTTATTGTGTAAAATGACAAATAGTCAGACCTATGTAATCACAACTGATTGATCACTGGGTGGTGATCAATGTCATGTGTGTCAATTCCTTTTTAGTGCAGATCAGATTCTACCGACCAACTTGCAATGTGGTTATTAGTCTAGGTGACTCAACACTGCTTGAACTATGTTGAGATAAGATGGTGGTTGGAGGTGGTCAACAGAAAACCCTGGACCCGGATTTCGTGCTACTTGGCACTCATCAGCAAGGTGTACCTGTGATTTTGAGGAAACTGGTGTTCCCTGACGGATTCGATAGCATTCGATCTGCACTAAATAAGGAATTGATGCTCATGGCATTGATCATCACCCAGTGATCAATCAATTGTGATTACATCTCATTCCTATAGGAGGTCGGTCGCGGCCTGGATGGCCCAGTGGTAATGTCTCTTACTGTGAAGCTGGGTGACACGAGATCGAACCTGTCAGGGAGCACCAGTTCCCTCAAGACTTCAGGTACGCCTTGCTGACGAGTGCCAGGTAGCACGAAACCTGGGTCCAGGGTTCCCTGTTGACTATTTCCAACCACCATCTTAGTCAGAACTATGTCCCTGAATTTAATTTCTCTATTCAATGAAAAATGTAGCAAACGTATAAAGAAAACTATCATCGTAGTAACGACAGTCAAAATTGTCCGGGATGATAAGTTTCTTAAGGATATAGAGAAATTCATTTTTATTTCTTGATAAATCAATATTTTTATACGTCTATATACATGTTCTATTTTTAACCAACTTCTTATCTCCTTAGCTTTGCTCACACTTATTACATTACTTTAGGCTAGATTTAGAATATTTATACATTTTATTATATAGTATTTCGATTTTGCAAATTCAAATGATTCCATTTTATGATTTAGTTATACAGAAATTGGATATTTATAGATTGTTAGCTGGAAATTTTGGACATATTCCATCATTCTGATTAGCCATCAACAATAAAAATATCCCCATATAATTGACTAATTAAAGACACATTTAGCTGATAAAGGTATGAAATTCTTTTCAGTCTAATACAATCCTATAAAATTTATCTAAACAACCAATTAGTTTGGACTAGGTATTTTTTTAATATTAAGTTATTAATATAAAGTGTCCAAAAAAACGTAACCTCTATCATATTGAATTACGCACCAATTCAAAATCAGAATATAAATTTAACTCTATCCAATTATATGGTCTGTTACAAAGAAAAAAAAAACGTTTTCAAACCAGAACCACTCAGATTGTAGTTCAAGCTAATTCTATAATGTATCCATTATTTAACAGCATCCCAGATCTTCAAAATCATATTGAATTTTTAAAAAAAATTATATTCACTTTTCATGTTCAACTAACTAGTAATTAGTTACATGGTGATCTAACTGAAAGAATAACTTATTTCTTTTCATTTCGATCTAACTTTAAAAAAAGAATAGTGAATAATTCAATAAAACTTGTTTATCATTTTATTTCATATTCACTTCCAACTTCGTAACATGTATGTATACATATCAACTAGAGTATAATTAAACATTACACTTGAACAAACATAATTTTCCTCATCATTCGTAGAAATGTTTGCTGATGATAATGTGATACCATTGGTTTATTACATTATTGCCAGTATAGTTGATGTTAGTGGAGTATTATTCAATATATTTACATTGATCTTTATATCTTTTACAAGTTTAGGATCAAAATCTTCTACCATTCTATTTCGTACACAATGTGGTTTTGACGGATTGGCTTGTTTTTTTGCAATAATTACATTATTTACGAGTGTGAATATTGGCGATTATAATGGATGGTTTGCTGAATTTTTATGTCACATATGGGTTTCTGAATATTGGATCAAATCAATGGAATTGTTGAATGTGTCCAATTTGATGTGGATAAGTATTGATCGATTTTGTGCTGTTTATTTGCAAATAAAATATAAAGCTTTTCAAAAATATGAACTTTTCATATGTTATACATTCATATTATGTCATGCAATTTTTACTCCAATACCATTTATATTCGCAGTCAAACATGACAATGATACTTGTAATACCATTGAGTTAACCTATAATTCACAGTTTAAAAACTTTCTTGTTTATAGTTGGCTTGTATTCGCTTATATAATCCCTTCAGTAGTAATGATTACTTGTTATTCTCGAGTATACTGCATTATCAAACGTTCAATAGTACAAACTCATGCTAATAATTCTTCATCATTTACAGCTGAAGGAAGTACACAGTTTGGGAATACTTCAACATTTTCACAAATTAAAATATCAACAAATATGCCAACATCAAAACCATCTTCATCTTTAAGACAAGTTCAATCTGTTCTACTAAGTATAACAATGATGTGTACTTTATTTGTTTTAAGTCATTCATATTATCAAATTTATACATTATTAAGTTTAGCTGGTGCTATACAATATCAAACTATATCATTACAAAGACGTTTATCAGTATTTTTCACTGTCATTAATAGTTCTTTAAATCCAATCATTTTGTTATTATCAAGTCAAAAATTAAGAAGAAGATTATATAAATTTTTTCGAAAATCTTTTTTGAAAATGAATTTTTCAAAAAATACTAATACAACAATAAGTACAATAGATTCAACTACAAAAACTTCAGGAGATTGATTATTATTTAAAATAAAACAATAAAATTCATTAATTAAATTGATTAATCAAAAGTTCATTACTTTATATTTGTGTTTGCATGATTGTTTATTTATTTTTTTTAAAAAAAATGATGTTTCATTCACTATGACAACCATCAATGATACATTCATTAATTGATACAATACAAATGTATAATTTGAAAAATTCCCATATTGTAAATTTAGAACAACATATATTATCAAACAATATTGTTTTCGATTAGATCCTTATGAAGATTTTATATTCTATACTTTAAATTTAAGTTCATGATTGTGTCTTATCGAAGATCAAGATTTATTGAGATGAATAATATTTCGTTATTAAAAAGAAGGATATATTTGTAAAATCTCAGCGAATGAATTTTAAGTAAATCCAACGTTTCGCCTGGCAATCTGGTCCAAGCTTTTTCAAGGAAAATATAATCAAACAACAAAATTATCGAATATAAATAGGTACAAGGTTCTTCGGTTTACTGTATACTGAATAAGTCATCCAATCACATTAACTCGGCGCCCAAATATTGCGAAACTATTCGTTCAAATTTAGACGAAAGTTCTTATTTAATATTTCGTTATGTTATTTTAAATTCATATCTGGCATGACGATACAGATCCTCATAAGGATCTCATTGAAAACAATATTGTTCATTTATGCATGTTGTTTTAAATACATAATGATCATTAATTAGTAATTTTAAACATAATTATTTTTCTTAATATAAATAGAGCCGATGAAATTTAAAGAAGTTTAATTTATATTTATCTGGTATACTTTTTGTAATTAAGATATCTTGGAAATGGTCATGAATGATTTAGTTTTTATCCATTTTTATCTGATATATATATTCATTATTCTATATATTATCCATTATTTGAATTTAATGAAGTTTGTGCTGATGATGTCGTTCAGAAGAACGATGAAAGCTCCACGACCAAACCATCCAGCTCAGAGAACATAACTCCACTAGAATTTAATGATGAGATATTCAAATAATTTATTGGTAATATGAATTGAAAATTTTAAAATAAAAATTGTAAAATTACATTATTACATAATTTTGATGAATGATAATAATAAGTGAAACCATTTATTTTGAGTAATTCAAGGTATATCCAAAGAATGTACCCTGATTCAATAGTGTTCGTACAGAAACTTTAAGTTGATATATTCTCATTAAAATGAAATAACAAGTTCTAATCTAGTTTACTTAACGAAAGTCAAAAGGAGATTTTTGATTGAGATCATGAACCGATTGATGTTAGACCACCACTGAAAACCTGGAAGCATTGGACACTCGTTTCGTCCCATTGCGGGACTCCTTAGTAGTGTGCATTCACGATCCCGCTCGCGTGATTCGAACCAAGGGCCTTCAGTCTTGAGCGCGAACGCTTAACCTACTGGACTGCTGAGCCGGCATATGGTGGTGTTAATGTCTAACCTCAACCAATCCACAAAATTGCGTGATCATCTTCTACTGTACTGAGGTAGATACCTTTCTCTATCGGACGCGGATTAACTCCACTAATCACGGCTTCTCCCTAGGACTCGGAGAATTCTGTCACGAAGCCAGTCACTAGTGAGCACATGATGATCATCAGTATATGGGTTGTTAACAATCTCCACAACCCCTACATTGAAAGGGAGATTTTACAAAATGTCTCATATATTAATATAAAAACTATTCACTTCAGTATTATAATACAACAATCATCTGTTAGTTTTTATTGACTTCAAACTACAACTTTATCCAATAAATACAATGACTGAGATATGCTCCATTCATGTACATAAATATATACAATTTTAATTCTTAACGAGTAGCGAAGAAAAATATCATGGGAATTCCTGTTTTACTGTGAAACATAAATTTCATTGGTGACCTAATAATTTTAAGGATTTCTTTATTGTACATCTCTTCTTCCCAACACTAAATTCTAGTGTTGACAGAAATCAAGTTTTGTCATATTTTGAAAGTGCTCAACGTTGTATTTTTGTGAGTGCTCTCTCTCTCTCTCTCTCTCTCTGTAACTTAATGCATAGCCTCTTGACCACATTTTTGCTAACCGTAAGTACATTTAGTACAAATTACTTTTAAATGTTAGTCATTGATTGATCTGATTACATTAGTCCTAAACTTGGATAAAAACATATGACTTATAAAACTATTTAGATCCATCGAAAAAGATAATTTTTACTAATACATAAATTTATGAATTGACTGTTACTGTATCTGTGAACCTCATTGACGTAAAATCTGAAGCACTGATCATGATTTCTGAGAATTACACGTTCGATCATTTGAAAATTCATAAGTAGGTACTGTTAAGTAGTTCTATATTGACCATATATATATATATATAAGCGAACAATATTGTTTTGGATTACATCCTCATGAGGATTTCATATTCCGCACTTTAAATTTGAGTTCTTCATTTTGTCTTGTCGAAGATCAAGACTTATTGGAATTAGCAGTATTTTGTCATGCTATTTTAAATTCATATCTGGCATTGAGATACAGATGAACCCAATTTACATGGAAAAATTGCCCATCAATGCTCTACCCCGGGAAGTGGATGATTATTTGGAATATTTTGATGCTTTGTGTTTGTCACATAACTTCAAGGAGGACATCATTTCAACTCATTTTATTACTTTTATTGGTAGAAAAGCCTGTAGTCTGTTAAAGAATCATGCATTTCATGATAAACCTATTCTACTCTTGTTCAAAAAATAAAAAGAATACTAATAAATTATTTCCATGTAATATCATATGAAACATGTGAAAGAACATATTTCAATAACTTAGTTCGTGCTCCGAACCCGATTTTAAACTAGAGAAACAGCACTTTTCAGACAGCTAAAAACGTCTATTTCACCTATGAAAATCTCAATAATGAACATTGTGACGTCAAAGAGAAACAAACAGAAGTTTATTATCGAATTTGAATCAATCTTCAATAGTGCGGAAACCTCAGACTTCCAACAGGAACAGTTACTATTCATTCAGATAGGTGAATTATTCAAAAAGCGCTCTTAATTCTTCTTTGGGTATTAAATCCTGTATTTCATGTGACAAGCTCCATCTTCGTAGTTCAAATCAATTTTGTTACTCACGCTAGTTTAACTCTGGAAAGGTTGAATAAGTACACAAAGTTTGTAAAAGTTTCAAGTTGTTTACTACTGAAACACTGAATGATAATAGTTCAAGACCAACTCATTTTAACAGAAGGATGGATTCGTTGTCGCTCACTACAGCCTGCATCAGTACTTCAATTTTAATGCAGAAATTATCTGCTATCGTGTGCAAGTTCCATTCATTTATTATTGATAATGATAGCATAGAGCCAATTATTTCTGCGACAAATTTACTGTCTCCTTATAAAAATGTCCATTTAAAACTTACAAGTTGTGCAGTCACTGGCCACCAGTTACCCATTATTGGTACAGTTAATAATCCATTGAGGAAAGAAAAGGGTATTTATATCAAAATTCCATTTCCAGTTAGTGAGTACGGCCCATCTGTGCATGGGTTAAAGGGCCTTATCTCGCTGGGCGCATGCATTTCTTTCTGTACTAATTCTTCAGACAGTACATTAATCAAAGATCTGGTCTTTCAATGGTCAAAGCCTGTGGGAGGTATGAAAATTCACCCAGTGCTCACAAGTAATTGATCACTGGGTAAAACTTTCTTCAAACCATTTCCATTGACTGAAAAATTTATCCTTACTACGGATGCATCACTACTGGGGTTAGGTGCCGTTCTAGAGCAGAATGGAAAACCTTTTATTTTTATTCCTAGACGACTAGGCAAGAGTGGACTAGGATATTCTCAGACCCGAAAGAAGGCTTTAGCTGTGTTGTATGCAGTAAAACAACTTTGTAAATATTTGTTTAGTGTAAAATTCCATGCTGCAACTGATCATTAGGAGTTAAAGTTTGTTTACCACCTAACCAAGTCACTTCATCGGTCATTCGCTGCTGTGATCCAGAGATGGAGTTTAGAGTTGAGTGCTTGTGATTTCATCATTGAGCACTGATTGGCTAAAAGTATAACAAATGCAGATTTTCTATCACTCAATTAATATTTTGAAAGATCACCTAACGAAAGTGATTGTATATTGGTCCAACCACTGCCTGTTGGTATAGCAGAACTTGTAAAAGATACTAGTCAGTATTTTGGAACTGCTATAAGTGCGGCGATAAGAGGTTGGAATATTCAGTTCAAGTGCAGGTTTTCTGAGTTGAACTTCAATGATAAGGTAATAATTCAACCTACACTTAGTATTACACGACCTTCACTCTGCCCATCTGGGAAATTGCTGGTCAGACTTGTTGGTAGCCTGAGACAGATGCTGATATAAGTCGAAAATTGAAAAACCGTCCTGCTTGTTTACATAAGCTATCGTATAATAAACCTAATTGGAATCATCAGCCTTCATTTTATGAATCGTGGTGTAGTGTTAGTCACTAGTTTTAGCCCATAATATATCTTATTCTAGTTTTCGGACATTCCATTCTATTCATTCTACTTGAGTCATACTTTGACCTTGTCAATTATTTGCTTATTAGTCTTCACTGTTTTTATATGAGCGTATATGTGTTTGCACATCATATCCCACGACTCATTGCATGTCTGTAGCTTATTTTGTCTGACTATAAATATGGAATAACACTTGACTAAAATGGAGTTGGCTTCCCAGCCATCTTCCATACGCTCTAAAATGGAGTCAGGTCAACGGGCCACTAAAGTGGTAACGTATTCATGAGGATTACTGAGGCTCATCTTTAAACTCATATTATCCTTTAGTTATTATTGATTCATATTCCAAATGGCCAGAAGTAGTACTGAGGAACAGTTCTAATGGACACTTCCCTCAAAGGGTAATGAGGAATATTTTTAGTCATGAAGGAATACCCAACATTTTAGTAACGGATAATGGAACCAACTTCACAGAAAAAACGTTTGTTGGACAACTAGT